TTTTTTTTTATAATGAATTTAAAGATATTCTAAAATATAGCAAAAATTAATTTTTTTATTACAATTAGGAATTTTACTAAATATAAACTCTTAATCTATGGTGTTAATCAACGTTTAAGTCTAAAAATTAGGAATTTTTACCTCTTTTAATCAATGTTTAAGTCTAAAAAACAATCCAGTTATTATAAGTTTTTTTTCTACATCTTTTAAAACATTAAATATGAGCATGTTATTGCTAGCTTGTAAAATAATTAATATATCATCTCACTAAAACATTTATACTAATAAAAATTTAATTTTAGCATATAAATTTATCCCTTTATATAAGAGAAAGTAACAGTTTTACTTATTGTTGTTCACCATATAATATTTAATTATTATTTTATTATATAATAAAAAAAAATAGAGTTAAATAGTGTAGTAGAATTGTTATAAAATTATATGAATTTTTTTACAATATGGATTTATTATTTTTTTATGATTTGGTAATATAAACAAATCTATACTTAACTTTGACAAATAAAACAAATTAATACTTTAGTAAGTATTTAATGTATATACTAAATAGGAATATATTTGATATAATCAAATACCAAGTAATCAAATTATACTTATCTTTTTAAAATAAAACAAATAAATAAAAATGTAGTAAATATAGTAAATGTAGTAAATCAATTAAAATAGTAATGACATTTAATGCAGTTGACTTTTCTGGATAGTAAATGTAGTAAACAGAACTTCCTTTTATATAAATATAGATTGTATAATACGGAAATAGTAATGCAATAAATGTTGTTGACTTTTCTTTATACTAAATCTGGTAAATGGTATACCTTTTAATATAAGTATAGATTGTTTGGTTTTGTAAGTTAGGAGGGGAGGGGAGGAAAATTTTTAAGCAAGAATCCCTCCCCTCCACCAATTTTGCTCCCCTCCGAACGTGGGGGAATTTGGAGGAGAGGAAAAATTTCAACACATAAATTACTATATTATCCTTATTATGTGAAGTATTTGATTATTTTTGTTTCTTACATCATTAAGGATATAATTGTCATTTTCACAATATTTTCTTTTGGTAAAATTGCATCTGAGGTCACGACCTTATGGACTTTTGCACTTTTGTCACGACTTTGGGACCTTGGCGATTCGGTACTCAACTTTTTGTTTTTTTGCAAAATGAAGCATTGACCCGGACTTCGGCCGACCGGTGCCAACATGTCCGGCAATTTAATTGATGTGGCACACGTTTTTCAGTCCAAAAAAACAGCTCACCTCGAACGGCATCGTTTCTATTAAATCCCAAACCAAAAATTCATCTCTTCAAAATTCCAATCCCTAAATCCCTAAATTCCTCTTCAAATCCAAATCCAAAAAATTCTCCGACTGAAAACCCTCGACCACCGGCAGAAAATTCTCCCTCCAGATCTAAAAATCACTGCAATCTCGACTGAATCCATCTCTCTACACATGGCATTTTTCTTGGATGTTGGCAGACATTGCGAGAAAATGGTGGAAATGGGGAAAAATGTCTATAGCTACCAGCATATTAAGGAACAAAGATTATTAGCCTGACAGAAGAAAACAAAAATAATGTTCTTTTAGTTACTTAGGTTTTGGAGAGATTATTTTGTTTCACTTTTCCCTCTTTTTTNAAATTGCCGGACATGTTGGCATCGGTCGGCCGAAGACCGGGTCAATGGTTCGTTTTGCCAAAAAACAAAAAGTTGGGTACCGAAGTGCCAAGGTCCCAAAGTCGTGACAGAAGTGCAAAAATCGATAAGGTCGTGATGTCAAATGCAATTTTGCCTTTTCATTTCCCTCCATTATTCTAACCAAACAAGGTTTACCATTTTCCCTCTATTCCCCTCCTACAAAATTCATCCAAACAAGGTAACATTATTTTACATTAATTTGAGACTTATTATCCTACAATACTAGTCTATCTTTTGACATCTCGGAATATTTTTCAAATTGCTAAAATAGATAACAAAATATCAAAGTATATGAATTTATTTAAATAATAAATAGCTCGAAAAAAACAAACGTACAAATAAATTTAAATGTATAAAAATGCACCATTAAATATATAAAACATTGACTTATCAAATAATAAAAATAAAGTAATAAATAGTTAAAGAATAAAATTGGGGCTTTTCTCCTATTTGGAAGAGAGATAATTAATTATCTTCTTTTTGTTTATTTAGTTTGTAGACTAGTATGCACTAGTTGGGGCATGGAATACGAGTTCGAAATGACCTTAGTTGGTCCTTTCCCGTCCACTCAATCACTAATAAATTTTGATGGGATAAAAGTTGAGGAAAGACCAAAAAACTTTGTCAAGTCAACTCCACGCTCCCAAACCCTAATCCCATGGGCCATGTCAACCACCAAATTCAGATTAAAATCAAGTGGCCCGTGTCTTACATTTTTTTTTATAACTCTCATAATTGATTTCCTTTGGTTTGTGGAATTAATCCTGGTATATTTAATTTAGATTTGTTAAGACTTTTTAAAACTTTTAAAAATTCTGGGGTATTCAATTGGGATTTTCAAAAATCTTACAAAATCCTGAGGTATTTAATTTTGTTGACACTAGGATTTATTAAGACTTTTTAAGATTTTGTGGGATTTCTAAACAAAAAACCTTATATGAAATCCCACTTCAAATCCTACTTCCGGACTTGAGATTTCATAGAATTCTTCCAAAATCTGAAAATCCTATAAAGTTTCAAATCTCGAAAAGTTTTAAAATGTCATTTAAATTCCGAATTGAATACAACCCCCTAAGTCTTGTGGCTTGCAGAATTTTTTCGGTTTTAGTCCGTTTCACTTATTGAAATGCAAATTTGGTCCTCAATCCTCATCCGACTTTCCTTTCCTACAGTTAAGGTGTTCTACTACTTTATTTCTACAGCCTTCCTAATCGTGTTAAAATCTAAAGATGCGAAAGCCATCAATATATATGCCTTCCTACAGTTTAGTCTAACAATTATCTAACTTATTTAAGCCTCGTACCTCCAGTCCGGCTTTCCAATTTATCCGGAATATTAACACATCAAAAAATCCGAAGCCATGCCCGAGCCTAACTCCGTACCTCCTCCGAGCCTGCTCCTACTCCTCCTCCTCAACATACTCTTGTTATGCTCACTATCTCCACCCGCAAAATCGCAAGAGTACTGTTTCACCGAAACTTTCGCTCCAAACAGCACCTACTCGGCCAACCGTGAAGCCCTCTTCTCATCCTCACCGGCCACCATCCCCGCCAACGGCTTCCTCAACGCCACCACCGGAGAAGCTCCCGACCAAGTCAACGCAGTCTTCCTTTGCAGAGGAGATGTTAGCCTCACCGCCTGTCACCAATGCGCCAATGAATCCGCTCGGTACCTCGCCCAGAGGTGTCCCTACAGCAGGCAAGCCTCGACCACTTTTTTTTATTATTATTATTTATTTATTTTTTAACAAAAATACTCAAATTAGGATAACTTTAAAAAACAATAGGGATGGGCTATTCTACAACGAGACGTGCCTAATCCGGTACGCGGATACACCGTTACTTGGGGTGCTTGTAACGGAGCCCCTGAGCGTGTGGCCGAGCACGATTATGGTGAGGAGCCCAATAGAGAACGAACGAGAAAGACGAGCCTTGCTGGAGAGTCTGACGGAGCACGCGGCGAACGGCGGGTCGAGACAGAAAGTGGCGGCCGGGAATAGGATGACGGCGCAAGGGGATAGGGTCTATGCGCTGGTGCAGTGCACCCCGGATCTATCGGCGCGTGACTGCACGGACTGTTTGACTCAGTCAATGGATCGTATTCCGGTGTGTTGTCGTGAGTTGATTGGGTCAAGGATTTTGAGACCAAGCTGTACCATTCGGTTTGAAGACTATCAGTTTTTTAGTGCTTCCATGGTTCAAGTTCCGCAGGTGCCCCTGCCACCGGGTTCAGGTGACACCACGTCCAAGTTACTATTTATGATAATCTTTTAAAGCTATTGAGGAGAAGTTTAAATAATCCAACTTTAATCGCACCAGACATAATTAGCTTATCTATTTGAGTTAATTACAGGAAAAAATCGAATTGCTATCATTGTTGGCGCAACAGTTTCAGGCGTCGTGTTCTTGATACTTGTTGTTTATGCGGCGTTCCTATTTAGGAAGAGGAGGATTACAATGAAATGGAAGAAAAAGACCGAGAGTGAGAACTTTTTTATCCGTCTAAAGTTCACTATTGATATCCTTATTCGTTCCATTTTTTACGTGTGATTTTAATTTGCTTGCACAGATGACGGCGACATTAGCACGATTAAATCCCTGCAGTATGATTTCCGGGGAGTTAGAGCCGCAACTAATGATTTTTCGGATAATAACAAGCTGGGTCAGGGTGGATTCGGGGCGGTTTATAAGGTGACTACTTAACATTTTTATATACGAGAAATTGAAGTTCAAATCTAGCTTTTGTTTAATGATTCGGTTATGTTTGGAATCAGGGTGAACTTCCGGACGGCCAACAAATAGCGGTCAAAAGACTGTCCAAAGATTCCCGACAAGGCAAGACCGAGTTCCAGAATGAGGTCTTGTTAATGTCGAGGCTTCAGCATAAGAATCTAGTAAGGCTCCTTGGTTTCTCAGTACAAGGAACCGAAAGGCTTCTTATATATGAATTCGCCGAGAATTCGAGCCTCGACCAGTTCATATCTGGTAAGCAGTTAGTAATGGTTTTCAATTTCTTTTAGCATGCTTTCTTACTCTTTTGATTTCAAAATTTTTGATGATATATTCACTTTTAAACCGAGCGTGTAGATCCCATTAGACGGTCGTACTGGGATTGGAGCATGTGTGATAAGATCATAAGGGGCATTGCGAGGGGACTATTGTACTTGCACGAAGATTCTCGACTCAAGATCATTCATCGTGATCTCAAGCCGAGCAATGTGCTTCTCGATGGCGATATGTACCCTAAAATTGCAGATTTCGGCATGGCACGATTATTTGGACAAGATGAAACTCAGGGATGTACAAGCATAATTGTCGGAACATAGTAAGTAATAAACAATTCTGCAAGACTACAAATTTTCCACATTCAACTTAGGCTATGTTTGGTAACCAAATAAACTAATTATAACTTATCTGATTACCTTATAAGCCTCATGTATTCAATTAAGTTTGGTATGCTAGGACAAGTTTTTTTTAAAAAGCTCGAACTTATCTTATAAGCTTCTTTGAGTAGCTTTTGAAATAAGCTCGTTGAAATTTTTATTTCAGCTAGCTTATTAATTCTATAAACTAGGTTTTCAACTATAAGTCATAAGTCATAAGCTATACGCTATACGCTAAAAAATCACTTATTAGCTATAAGCTAGCTTATCAGCCATTAGCTAGTTGCTAGCTTATCAGCTAGTTTTACCAAACATATCCTTATTATATAAAAGTTCTCTTGGGTGCCAACTCGTTACTATTGATTTTGGATATTTGCAGTGGATATATGCCGCCTGAATACGTAATGCACGGGCATTTCTCTGTTAAGACGGATGTCTTTAGCTTTGGAGTCCTTGTGCTGGAAATCATGTCTGGTCACAAAAATGGTTTTGTCGACTCAGGGGACTATAGTGACGGCCTACTGAGTGCCGTAAGTATCTTTAAATTAATACGAAAAGCGATTCATAACACAAACTCGGTTGATACAATGTAACTAAAATGTTTTGCAAATATCAGACATGGAAAAATTGGTGCCGAGGCACGGTTGAAAATGTTGTAGATCCTGTGCTGAGGGCTGGGCCAGGCCAGCTGCACGACATGTTGAGGTGTATCCAAATCGGGCTTTTGTGTGTCCAGGAAAATCCGGCCGACAGGCCCACGATGGCTTCCATTGTTCTCATGCTCAGCAGCACCACTATGGCTCTGCCTGCTGCCTCAGAGCCTGCATTTTACTTGGTCAGCCGATTTGTTCCGAGTGGGTCTGATCTGGTGGGCCCGGGCTCGGGCTCTACTGGGCTGTCTCAGAATACTATGTCAGTGACCGAGTTAGATGCGAGGTGATTCGACAGAGGATTTTTAATGGTTTCTTGCCTTTGATACCATGGAAATTGGAATATGTGTGTATATTGATATTCTGTTTCAAGATAGAAAAGTAATGCTGTAATGTGTGTGTAATACTTGTTTTCTCTGTTTCGAGATACAAAAAGTAATGTGTGAGGCAGACTATTTTTCTTTTTTTTTTAGATAACATATATAAAAATGGTGTCAGCTCCAAGTTCTTTTCTTGATTCCAGTTGATGCTTTCGCACAAGAGAGAGTTTTGTCACCTAGTTTTCTGCTGTTACCTAAGAATGAAATCATGGAAAACAAAAACGACACAGAATCAGACTTTGCAACCTAAACCATCTTTCATAAACACAAAACTGTTAGGTTCACTATTCTTTAGCGATTAAAATCGTAGCGGAAATTATACAATATAATTATCATTTATCAAATAAATACTTAATCCGTAAGTACAAATAGCGAATAAAATGATCAGCATCTTTTAAAATCATGTAAAAATACGAATTTTGATTTGTAGATAATTTCGAAAATTACTTTTAACTTTCTTCAAATAGCGACGATGAAGAAAAAATCAATTCCCGGTTATGTGGTTATCACCGTCTTCTCACTCCGTAAGGGATCCAAGTGTCTCCCCTCTAATCGAGTCCACCCATTTGAATTTTGACTCCGAGAACAATTTCTTCGCTAGTAGAAATTTCTCAATATTTCATTTGGTATTTTAAATTAAAATTAGAAGAGAAGAATTTTTTTTTTATTTGAAATTGCGGTGAGCATCATATGCTCTCTTTTGCAAAATCATTAATAAGAAAGCATTTATGTATGCACATTGGGAGAAGAAGTTCACTTAAGTACATCTCATATGTACATTTATATATATATAATAAGTGATGATGATTAAGTTAACCACCCCACCTAATGATTATATATATATATATATATATATATATATATATATATATTTAATAAAGACATTATTGGTTAAAATGAGGTGGAGATGAAAGTGACGGCTCCACTAACTCATCTTCATTTTTTTTATTTTTAATTTTAATCTTTAATCTTAACTAAAAATTAAGTCAAAATAATTCAAGATAATGACTTATAATTTATGAAATCAACTTTCTAAATTAATTGGTCAAAATCTTATCTCCCATGTAAAATAAAATCTCCTCTTTTAAGTAGGCTTTTGGTATATAATCATATTAATATTTGGATTTGAATTTTAAAGTCCAACTTTAAAATTCCAACTATTAATTTAGTAATTCCAATAATTACTTAATTAATATCCAAAGCCTAATTAATCAATCCAATTGATTAATTTATTTTATTCTTTTAATTGACATCTAATCAAAATTAGATTTAATTAAATAATCAAATTATTTAATTAAGTCTTGTCAATTAATCCAACTATTGGAAATACCAATTTCAAAATTGTCATCATCCAAAATTTGGTGTGACCCTTTTAGGTTCACGATTAACACTAGTAGTGGGTTTACAACTTATTTGTAATTTAAATTAATCTAATTAATTTATATTCTTGAAATTAAGGTCCTTAATTTCAAGAACCCACAAATCATGGTAACACCTAGCAAGTAGCATGATCATCTAGTGTTAAGTGAAATAGCGAGTAAACTTTTTCAATTGCAAGTGCATACATGTAAAATCCTTTCGACAACTAATTTCCCGATTAAATCTTGGGCATGGATTTATAAGCCGAAACCCAATTGATTTAATAACTATGATTCCATTTCAAGTTTAATGATTCCTTTATGAATCCATATTCATCCCGCCTTGGCCAAGGTCTTTGAATCACAAACTATGAAAAACATAGGAAATTCACTTATCCACATAAGTGTCGAATTCTTTGTTGGCCACAGATAAACCTCCATACAATATCCAAAATATCCCTTTTATGATTGTCCAGCAATCAAAGGATAAATCAAAGTAAAGCACAACATGTACAAGATTACTATCGTGCCTCAAGTCAAAGGAATCGTGCCTCAAGTCAAAGGATCAGTCATGTACTATTGCAACATGAAAATTCTTATTCGACAGTTAAAAACTTCGGATAAATCAAAGTAAAGCACAACATGTACAAGATTACTATCGTGCCTCAAGTCAAAGGAATCGTGCCTCAAGTCAAAGGATCAGTCATGTACTATTGCAACATGAAAATTCTTATTCGACAGTTAAAAACTTCCAGTTAAGAATTTTCATCGGGCCATGTTCAGTGAACTTGTTCTCCAACAAGCACCTGCATATATTTACCTGCATATATTTGCGTCCACACGCTAATGTTGATGGAATGCAACATTCTCATCCGATGAGCATACATCATATGCACAAGTCTTACCGGGTTATTCGATATCCTGTCTCGAAATACCCATCTACTTGGAACTTATTTAAGATCGCAGCTTTAAAAACATGTTCCATGATTGCCATCAAATGTGCAACCATGCCTCATAGCTAATAATGATCTAAGGACTTTATCATTTGTGCAAATATAGGATAAATGCAAATACATAAAATAAAGCTATGCCTCAAAATAATATAATTTCCAATAAATTGTCTCTAAAAGTAGAAAAAGATCCAATTAGATTGGAACACCGAGTATTCTACTCTAACAAAAATCTATCAAACATAGTCTCCGGCACCATCCCTTGAAACCCGATCAAGCTCTCCTTGTACGGATACAGTCTCGTCGAGACCATGAAATTCCTCACCGTTCCATAATCCGTCCGCTCGCCCGTCTCAACATTGCACGTAAATACCACCCCGCATCCCTTAATCCAAAACCACATCTCCCCATCCCTCACCAACAACGGCACAATCTCATTCCCCCCCTCCGCCTCCTTCTTCATCCACGCCGGCAGGGCCACGATCCTCTCCTCCGCACCCCACCTCCCCTTCCCGTGGTCCTCCATCTCCTTCACCTCCATATTACTCCCCACGACACCCGCAATCACCAACTTCCCTTCCCACTCCAGAGCCCAGTAATCGTCCGCCCGACCCGTTTTCGGCAAAAACCGGCTCGCAGCAAATTTATCCGTCTCGACGTCCAACGACACCACGCCAATCTCGTTTTCTGCGAAAAAAACGCAGTGCGCGGCCTCGCCCGTCGAAATAACAACCGGCCAGTGGGACTCACCGCGGACGATCATTGCCTCGGGAAAATCGAGCACGGGCCTCCACACGCGGGCCCCACAAGGGTCGAGTACCTCGCAGCCTTCGGAGCCTATTTTTTCCGAGTCGCGGTGGAATGAGACGATAGAGTAGCTGCCCGTGGCCCGGGAGAAGGTGAGAGAGAGCCCGAGGCTGTTCGGGTTAGGGCCGGGAAGCTCGAGGGCCCGTTTGGTGGCGGGGTTCCAGAGGCAGAGTGTGTTTTGGGTCTTGTGTTGCATGAGGAGGAGGCCGTCTCGGCCGTTGGCGAAGGAGAAGGAGCATCGGGCCGAGGTGTGGGCCCAGTTGGTCTTGACGTTGTGGTGGTGGTAGAGGACTTCGGAGTGGGCCATGTGGCGGTCTTTGAAGTAGTGGGATTGGATGAGGGAGTGCCATTCCTTGGAGACGAGCTGGAGGCGGGCCGCGTCCTTGAGGGGCATTCGGCTCAGGATTTCGATTGTGATGCCTGGTGGGAAGAGTTGGGCTGATGGGTCGAGTTTTTGGGCCCGTGGGGACCGTGGGCCTGGGCCTGATGTCATTTCGGTCTGGATTGGGCTGGGGTATTCCATGCTGTGGAAAGGCTCTTGAGAATTAGGTCTTTGATAAGAAAAAATTTAACATCACACACATAAGATACAGAAAAATGTGTTTTCAGGATTATCCATGTTTTTAGAACATGCTTTCATAATGAATCTCACTGTTTTATATATGGCAATCATAACGGACAAGCCACCACTATGCAGTATTTTTCGGTACGAAACTGATAAAAACCAATATTTTGGCGACTTATGTATCAATCGGTCCACTCACATCTAACATTAAGCAAAAATTTTAGAACAGTGATTAATTCTTAGATTTAGAAAGCCAAACTGATCAAGAATGATACTATAGGAAACACCAAAAATCGAGATCTAATAATGATTTAGGGGAATACCGTCGAGATTTTGCATCACTTTATCAAAACATAGCAAGTGCAAATTTCATGGAAATCAGACAGATTATCATCAGGAAAAACAGATAAAAACAGAGCATGGCCAGCAATCCTTAAGAAAGTTGAAAAGCATATAACTAATAACTTGAACGTGCAATTTGTCAATTTCTGGACATAACATGCAGTAACTAAGACTAAAATATGCAGACAAAATAATGAAATACTCTGTACCAGTAAAAGGACATTAGAGGAGGATGATCTACCTTTGAAAAGATGGTGATGAGTGGCCAGAGAGTGGAAGACTGCAGGATTTTATTCTATTTGTGATTTCGAGGGTAACTTTGTTTTGATATGGTGTCGTAAATCTCGGATTATACCCGATTGTTCCTTATCTTTCCTTTATCTTTCTTCTTTTCTATTCTTCTAATTTTCTATATTAACTAGTACAGTACCCGTGCGATGCACGGGATGGTATATTTTCCTGAAATGTTTAACGTGTGAAATATTAAAAATAATATAATTTATATATATGTAATAAAAATAAATGGATTGCAAAGAAGGAAAAAAAATATAAATTATTGAACACTTTCTTTGTGAAGTAAAATTTGTGAATGTTTGGTATATTTGATTATGAATAGAAAAGTATGAAATACTACCTGCGGACCGTTGAGATAGATGAGAAGATTTACTTAGAATATATAGAATAAATATTGAGATAATGATTTACCTTTTACCTAGTATAGATAAAATAAATATTGACATAATGTGGGAAAATTATGACGAATTATGACATAAATTCGTTTAGAAAATATTCAAAAATTAGATTTATTTTTTATTTTTTAAATCTTTACAGTAATTCGTACGTTCCTTTTCATACGCTTAATTTATCAATTTTACACATACAAATCAAAATTAATGCAACTCGAAATATTATATAACAAATAAAATGAGATTTTTATCTAACATTTAGTATATTGCCGGAAAATTTTTTATAAATCTTATTCTCTTTATGCACATAGATATTAAAGAATGAGTAAAAAAAATATCTAAATATGTTTAAAAGTATCTAATATTATATGTGTTAACAGTGTTACAACCAAAAGACATTGAGAATACGCAGACTATTATATAACATATGTGAAAGTATTAAAATATTTTATATTATTATTGAAAAATGTGAAATTACCTCAATTTTGTCTAGACTATTTTATAAGAAAAATATGTATACTTAAAGTTAGCACACACATAGGTATATATCCTTAAAATTTGCCCAACTAACATGTTTAAAAGTATATAAAATTTTATATATAAAATACGTTTAAAGTTTACATATTTTACAAAAATTAGACTGCTCTCAGTTTATATAAAGTTTGTTCCTCTCATATTCGGATAATGTATTATGCATTTAATGAAAGCACCTACGATACAAATTTATAAATATTAATTAAAATAATTTTCTAAATTATATAAAATTGAAATAACAAAGGTAAATATTACCTGTTCATCGTGAAAATGCGTTACAGCTCTCCCGTTCGTGATGGGTTTCAATAATGCGGACTGCTCTCAGACACAAAAAAGGTTTGTTATAAATATTAATTAAAATAATTTTCTAAATTATATAAAATTGAAATAACAAAGGTAAATATTATCTGTTCATCATGAAAATGCGTTACAGCTCTCCCATTCGTGATGGGTTTGAATAATGCGGACTGCTTGGTTTCAATAATGCGGACTGCTATCAGACGCAAAAAAAGGTTTGTTATAAATATTAATTAAAATAATTTTCTAAATTATATAAAATTGAAATAACAAAGGTAAATATTACCTGTTCAT